TGCTACTTAAGCTTGTTGGTAAATGAGGCTTCTAGAGTCCTGCATTTCTCTCTGTATACGTTAACATCTTACTTTAATATTTTCTGGTTCCCAGTAGACCTACCACAGATATCTCTAYAGTGAATGAATGAATGAACTTGTATAATGTTTTCAATTGGATGATGACAAGTTGAGTAGGCATCCAACCTCATTCCTTATCTAGATTCATTAGAATTTGGATCCTAAATGTTTTTTCCTCTCTGCTCCACTCCTGTTTCAGTTGTTGGTCATCCATTAGGTTTGGGGAAAAAAAAATAAAGATAATGATGCAAATCTTCTCCATTGGAAAGAAAATGAGTTTGGGGGACTAGAGACTAGGGAGTTAATCAAGGGTTTTTGAAACTGATGAAGTAGCTATCAGTGTATACCAGCTCGTTTTTATTGACAGGGCAACAGACTGAACTGTTCAAGTTGACTGACAGCTCCATTTGCCAGGCAGCCATTTTGAATGGCAGTTTCACTGCACAGTGTCCATCTTGAGTGGCATCTCAGCACCAAGAACACCTAGTTTGATTGACAGCTTCACATACAAAGAATTGAAGCCAGGATATCTCTGAGAAGCTGAGGGAAGAGGATGGGAGAGAATGATTTTTAGGCTTTGGGTTTCCCCTGTTCTTTTTTCAGTCATACTGGGAACATTTCATCATCACTGCGAAAATGCAAAAAGTATACACGTGTAAAGATGCACTTGATATCTCACAGCTGTGCTGCAAGTCAACACAGTTTTGTGCCCTGTGATATGAACATGTTTGACTCTCTGTAAATGATATAAGTCAAAATTAACTTTGCCATTATTACTGAATTTTAGTTATGTCCACTAAAAGGCTTAATTTTCTATTTATCACAAAGGGGACTGATTAGACTCAATCTTTTATGTATTTCTTGTGATGCATAATGTCTATACTATTTTAACTCACCCCTTTGATGTTAGACTTGAGTTCACTGAAATACAGAAGAGCCAGCAAAAGGACATGGTTACCTAAAACACTGATTTAAACCTAAAATGTTAATCCAAGTCATTCTAAAATCTAAAATTATTGATTAAATGTCTATTCTGTGAATGGCACATGTGAGGAATGAAAACTAGAAAATATAGAGACAAGAAGAAGATKTTTTTCAAAATCATCCAACAATGGCCATTCACAGCTAAAGTATTGTCTAAACTTACAGGTACCCCTCATCAAGGAAATAAAAGACCTAAAGAAAAGGGCTAGGAGGGAGGGTCCAATTACATGTATGGTTTGAGGCAATGAACATTTTAGGCAATGGGACATTTGAGCTGAATTGTGTAGTCTTACAAGGAATGTGAAGATTGATATCAAATAATCAAGTGAATATCAATTTACAAGAGTGAAGACATTTATTTTTTTTGAAAAATAAAATGAAAGTGAGAAGAAGGAGAGAGGACCCTATGGTTAGAAATCAGAGAAAGGCAAAATTGAGCTGTGAAAGTGAAAAWTGTAATGGTTGAGCTCTTATTCATTCTTAGAATTTAATCTGGCAAGAACGTTGCTGTTATCATTACCCAGTTATAACAAGAGCTTTCACCTATCTTATGACCTGCTGGACAGAGTGGCACATGCTGTAATATCAGTGACTTGGGAGGCTGGGACAGGAGGATCACAATTCTAAGGCCAGCTTCAGCAATTTAGCAAGAACCTGTCTCAAAATTTAAAAATTAATTAATTAATTAATTATAGGCTAGGGGTAGAGCCCTTTGGTAGACCACTCCTAGGTTAAGTACCTGGAACCACAGACACATACACAAAATGTTCTCTTCTCTAATACCTTCCATTATTAAACACATACACACACACACACAGGAATAAATTGTTTGCCTAAGATTATGTATTTAAATTTTAATTTAAAGAAATTCTAGAGCTTCATGGGTGCTTGAATTAAGTGACTTCCCCCCCCCAAGGGTATGTCAATTTAATTCAAATTGTAAGAGGAACTACTAATAAAATGATTCCACTATATTTAGGTAGAGATCAGGAAAACTGTATAAATATAYACTGTTTTCAATACAATAATTCCATACTTTTGTCAGACAACTGATGCATTAGGAGACTAGATTCTACAGTCTTCTGTTCTCTAATATGAATGGGTAGAGTCCATGTCTGCCATGTCTAATATGAATGGGTAGGTAGTTGCTAAAGCACTTTCTTACTTGACCAGCATGCATCTCATGGAAGGAGAATGAGCAGTGGTAATATTTCTTGCACTAGAGAATGAAGCTACAACCTCATGAGGTCAAGGACTTTTTCAAAAGTCCCCCCAAGGCCTGGAGCCATGCAACAACATTAGGATGTAACCTCTTGGCTACGGGTCTCTTCTCAGCCATATATGGCTTTTTATGTCTTTCAAAAAGCCTTCCCAACATTTCCTCTTTTCCTGTCTGGTCTTCACTCTCAAAGGCTCAAGCTGTTGATCCAGAGATGGCAAGAACCTCTCTTTCTGGTGCTCATCATTTTTGATAATTTTATTTGAAAGCAGATCAAATACATATGTTCTATATCTGTTTTCAGGAATATCATAGAATTGTCCTAGATGACTTTTGCAGGCCTGGTTTACAACAGTCTTTATATTCACTTACTAGAGCTGCCCTAACAAAATATCTAAGACTGACTGGTTTAAACAACAGAAATGTATTTCCTCACACTTTTGGAGACTGGAAGTTCAAGACCCAGTTGTCAGCAGGTTGAATCTCTACTGAGGCCTCTCACCCTGGCTGGTAGAATAACACCTCCAAAATGCAATTTTGCACATTTTTTTTTCTGTTGCAGATATACCTCTGGTGTCTCTTGTGAGTCCAAAATTCCTCTACATATAAGGACACCAGTCATACCCGGCTAGGCACCATATAAACGACCTCATTTTCAGTTAATCGCCTCTTTAAATCTCTAAGTTCAGTCATATGCTGAAGTTCTAAGGATTGCAGTTTCAACATATGAATTTGATGGTGATGCTGGGGTGCAATTCAGGCCACAACGACCTCTAGCCAGACTTTGCACTTCAGAAAGAAATGCAGGATTCTCATCCCACCACACACACACACACACACACACACACACACACACACACAACACATAATATTCCACTGAATATCTTTATAAGGAATTTGTATATCTAGCCAACTCATTGATAGAAAAGGAAATAACTGTTCACAATATGAAATGACAAGCCCAAGGTGCAGAGCTGGTCAGTTAATAGTGTCAGGAAAATTAGAGAAAGCCCTGGAAGCAGTATAGGGCTTTGTCTGGATGGGACTTTTCCTTCCATCTGTTTTTTCTGGGTGCAGTGAGGTTTTCAGGCATTTTTCCTCATTGGAASTTTATCTACTAAGATTCTTTACATAATTCTTCTCAGATAAAGATCTTGATCCCTCCAGCTAGGAGTTAATCTTCCCAACTCAGAAACTTCACCGCTTCATATTATAGTATTCTACATATTATAGTTATCTATAACTATATAACAAGTGCACTTGTTTCAAATCATCCATCTGATGTTTTAAGCTTCTTAAGAAGTGAGCGAATGAACGACAGGGTCATTTGTTTTCTATGGTAGCTTCTTATATCTTGTTTTGCACATATACCTATCAGATACTTAATAAATAATTATGGCATTATATTCTTTTTTAAATGTCAAGCCTCCTGTTATAAAGCTGCTCCTAGTTTGTTTGTATTGCTTCATTTTAAAATTCAGTTCCAGGGACAGGCAGAAAAAAAAAGGTGTTATATATTTCMGGTGATCTCCATTGATGAGGTCTCAGACCTTTCCTTCACAAAAYTTATAAATTTGAATTCTAATTGATGAGCTCCTTATTTTGTTTCTCCCCTCAGAAGTCTTGAACACTTTCAGGACAGGAACTGTGTCCTATTCATCTTTGTGTCCCTAATATTGTGATTAGCTCATAGCAGATGCTCTAGAAGTACTGAGTACGTTATGGAACTCCTCAATCACAGGAGCCCAGGATTCAGATGGGCAGCTTCAAGTTGGCACTGCTTGTATTTAAACATCGAGTGGGTACAGGTTGCCATCTAGTGGCAACTGTTTAGCAATACACTCAAAAAATAGAACTCTCCCAGTATTTTTACTGGTTTGCAAATGCCCTAATAAAAACCTAACAACAGCAAAGAGAAAACTGTATAATTGTCATTGCTACAGCAATATACAGTCATAGAATTTTTATCATATAATACTTTACATAACATTTCTTTTATATATATATCTTTCTTTTTAGGTGTAGATGGACACAACACAATGCCTTTATTTTTATGTGTTGCTGAGGATCGAACCTG